CAAACAGCTACAGTATAGTACAGAGCAAATGGAACATGTATGGCAAATACTGTATAATGTATCTCAAAAATGTTACTCCAGTCCGTTTTATACTGTTCAGTATTTCAATTCTCAACATTTTCACCTGGTTCTTCTTTTAATGGTGTTACTTTCCAGATACTCTACAAAATTATCTGAAATAATTACTGTAAAATACTATGCTTCCCTTGCCTGAGATTAAAATCACAAAAATTACAACATTCAACCTAAAATAACTTTCCCAATAATTCTTTCTCCTATTACCCGGGGTGAAACGGTACTAATGGGATATTCAAGTGAAAATATAGTTTTCTGTTAAGTTCATTGAGAAGAAATATTTATAAATATGCTTATATTACTTTGTGATGCCCACCATCTACTTTAGTTAATAGTTCTTAATACAACCAGACATTATACACATCATCATATTTGTTTTACAATTACCACACACATTAATCAATTCTTATGAGCTGCCTCCTAATAACTAGGAATTATTTACAGAATAATTTTTCTCATAAATATCATAGGTTTCATGAGTTACAAAACAAATGCTCAACAATATAACAATCAGACATCAAGTAAAGGACACATTACAAACCGATCTTAAAGGAAAGGTATGAATTTAATTTTGTTGGTGTTTACAACACATGACTTAAAGTTACTGCAATAATGTTAAATATACAAACAGTATCTGTAGGAAGGAGTACCTTTATGAAAATGTTAAGAGTCCTAAGGAAGAGTATGAATTTTGGTTACTGTATAGTAAAACCATTGTCACACACCCTGAAGGAAACATTTAATGGACAGTTGAGGACAAAAGAACAGCAGGGAGACAGTGTAGGCTGTGCCTGCCCTATAGTTAAACTAAAAAAAATAAAATCTATTTGTGATGTGGAAAGAAAATCGCACATTTAATTGCCACGTCTATGCAATGTTGTCAAGTCTCCACCTACCCCTATACCCTCCCACATACTGTACCACCTCTCTCCTTCCCTGCCTGCTGAATTTTTTTTGTCCACAACTGTACCATCACCCTTCTATCCAAAAATAGTACAATATAGGGATTGTGGATCCATGTGTACCCAGACCATGGTGAGAATTATACCAGGAAGGCTAATTCTATGGGCATCTATTCTAAGATGTTGGATACCACTCTTTACCTGTATCTTCACTGTGATGAACAACTAATTTGAAACAATTCTATTTCACATTTTGGTTTCAGCATATACCTGCCTTTATTAAATATTTGATTTTCAGGTAATAATTTTTATCCCCCTGTCCATTTTTTTCATTTCTGTGTACTGTACAGAACTCATTTTTCTTTACCAATCTTCTGCTTCTGACACATGCTTTTTATACAACATCCTTCCATATTAACTTAGTAATCTAAAAAAGTTTCAAAACTTCCATATTCACAATATCAAGTGCCTTTTTTCACCTCAAATTAGTATTAAGTGAATATTCATATATAAATATCATTTGTGGGACTTAGATCACTCTTAAAATCTAAACTGTGCAAGTTCAGTACTGTACATCATTGTAAAGTGTCTCAACAGCATATTACAGTATTCAGGTACAGTAAATTCATATACAGTACTGTATATTAAAAGTTAGTTTTAAGCACAGAGATCTAACTTTATAAAAGTTACATCTACTAAAGAATGAAATTAACTCTGGAATGTGTTCGACAGGTTACTTAACACAATAAAAAACCACAAAAGTTCCAAAGAACTTTTTCAGTGACAATGAAATTCAGCAATACAGTATTCTCTTATTTCTTTCTATAACATTTAAAGCTCAAGATTATGGCAGAAGTTTTCATTTGGGTAAAATAATATTAGGTGCGTAAAGTACTGTAAAGGCATAAGCTACACACCCAACCAGCCATACAGAGTCAACATGTAGATGATATGTAGTTACACATAACAATAAATATTACTAAGAATATGATATATTACCATTAACACACCGGTTAATATTATCATTAGTACATTGGCTTACCCTTTCAAACACTGTTATACACTTGTAGAATTACTGTAACGATATGTATCTATATTTACAGTTTTATTTATTTATCCAGTAGTGAATTGTTTAAATGCTGATCTTTGGTTATGAATCTGTTAAGGACATAACTATACAATAACTATCTCAACAAAATACGTATGTTGAAACACACCAAAATAAACACTAATACTGTACTTGTACAAGTATAAGTCTTCCTACAGAATACAGTAAAGCAAAATTCTGTACAATACATAACCTCCAGTCTGCTGATTTTCATCAACTGAGGCTGACATTTATTACAAGGAAATTACTTTGGCATACCTGGTATTTTGTTATTAATATACTTAGGGGACATTCTTCTACCTTTAGAGGCTGCTGACAGATGAAAATTTCGTCCTTACTGTGCTACAGTCCTGAATCCCCATGCTATGTTAAATATCACTTTGTAGTTTGTGGCTGAATCTTTGAGTACCTCATGTAAAAAGACAAATGTTTACACAAGGGCCATACACATTGAGGCGGCCAGTACACTGCACCCAACTATATTGTGCCATGTGTAGTATTTGGGGTGTCTATTCACCCTTCAAAACTGTATGCTTAGGTAGGCTGGAGTGAGTTAGCCACAGGTGCACGACATGGGTGATGTATGGTACAGGAATTCATACACTGCAGCTTAAAGGTGAAACTCAATAAAGTAACAAATGTATGTGAATACTTTAAAGCATGTGGCTTAATAAACTAAGAAGCTAGATACTAGCTGACTAAAAATGAAATGAGTATTTCTTTATGAGAAAAGAATTCCAGTTCATTTATTCAGTGGTACAAAATATTAAGCACAAAACATTGCAGGCAAACATTTTATATATTTGTTGTTCAATGGTATTAATATAATAAAAGATACAATGATATATACAGTACTGTATAGTTAAACAAATCAGTCTTACAGTTTTATTTAAATGAAAATGGTTGTTCTTCATGACCTGTCAGTACTCTAAGTCTACTAGGACATATACATTTATTCATCACCCAGTATTAGGAAAAAGCTCTTTAAGAGTCGGCAAGATACAAGAGAAAATAGACTGTACACCTTTGTCTAGCACAACTGGGGCAGCTAACTTATTGCCATGGCAAACACTTACACTATATTTCCATGGACGAAGAGTTGACAGTTTGATGTGAGGTCTAGGAAAAATACCAATACAGGTGTTGACCATTAAACGAAAAGGGTTAAGGACATCGAAAAGCCATATATTATGGGGAAAAATAGGTTCTGTTACTGAGACCCTGATGAGCCAGAGATATCACTCAGAACAGTTATTTTTCAACTCGTCATTTTGGATAGACATACATAATTTTCCCCTTCTTTTTAGTTATATGAATTGAACTTGAATTTGCCCCACAAGGGGGGCTAGTTTATGGGGCAGTAGGGCACACCCTTGCATCCTGTGCAAGGTGAAGCACTAAAGAGTTTACAGTGCCCAGCTGGGAAGCATGCGTAGTTCATGCTTGTCTTTATAACTCATGCATTAAGGGCGTAAAAGCATGAAGGGTCATGGGTTTTGTCAGCAAGTTACATAAAGTGACAGAATGAGGAGTATGTGGGGGGAAAATTCCCGGCACAATTCATCTGTTTATGGCAAAGCGTGGCAGGTCCTCCATAATGTCAAGTGCCAGGTCTGTCTCTAGGAGGAGGGATATCTGGTCAGGGAGGGAAGAGATGTTGGTAATGGCTGGGGACCTGTAGGCACACACAATCTTTCACAAAGAACGTGAAAAAAATTATAAGGTAAAAAACATAAAGGAACAAAAAGGCTTCCTGCGATCTGTGACCTATGTTATGGTTTATTTATCAACTCGTAATATTGGGTAGATTTACATAATTTTCTTCATTTTCTTTTTTACTACATTACATACACATGCAATTGTTCATACAGAATGTATAAAATAAATAAATAAATAAAATAAATGATTATTATACAGTCAATAGCATAAAGAGAACAAACATTTCTTTCGTCCGTGGGTGTCATTGTGCGGATCGGGAGGGGGTGCAGTGTCGAGGATCTCAGCCTCTTACTATCAGGCCAAGCTATGACCAGCGTTAATGTTGCCTGTATGTTGGCCTGGCGAGTTAGCGAGGAATTAACATACCTAGGAAACATGCTGAGCGTTGCATTCTGAGCTATATCACAAAAACTGGTTTTTAGAAAAACGACTTTTTTTAACTCCTAATTTCAGATAGATATACTGTACAGTAAGTAATTTTATTCATTCCTTTTTTTTAACTGTTTCATGCATACAATCATTTATTCAGAATGTGAAAAAAAATAAAAATAAAAATCATAAGTTCAAAACAAAGGGAATAAAAATTTCTTGCATGTCCAGGAATTAATACATACAGTATAGCAGAGAGGAGCAGCGTGGGGATCTTGGCTCACTGTATTGTGCATAATTACAAGATTGCCAAATGGCAATGCAGTATTTTTTCTTTTCTTTTATATACTGTTATTTTCATTTATTCCTCACACTTACTGGTACGGTATATATTATTTTACAGGTATTTACAAAGAATAGCCTCTGCGTGATGTAACAGTTCAACTGCATAGACTGGCAGTCATCAGGGATGGGTAGAGCCTCCCACATGGGTTGCTCATGTTATCTCGGAATGATGTAACACATGCAGCCCATGCAGGAGATTCTACCCGTTATCATACTGTATCTCAAAATATTGAAAGTTACTGCACATCTTTTCATAGCAGTGACAATGCAGGAAAAGCATTTGGGTAGCAACCTTTGTAAAACTGATCTTAGTAGCCATCGCATAGTGCAAATTTTTTAACATCGTAAAGCTGATCGATCAGATTACGGTCAACATCTGTCCTGTTTCTCAGCAAAGCAGCAACTCCACATGTTACATAACTGTGTTAGTGACAGGTGTAGTGACAAGATTATACCATGGCAGTGGGATATTGAGAGAAAAATAATTGTTATATTTCTACTTATCCACATAGTAGTTTACAATATCATCATAGTTTTATTTAATTATGAAAAATAAGTACCAGTACTCTATAAATTTTTGGGGAAGATTTGGTTGCACTTCAAAGGCCTTCACATAGAATATGCCTTTACCTAATATTTATGTACTACATAAATGAACTACTGTACAGTAAATACATCTGTCGCTTCTAGTATTCTCAGGAGCAAGTTAGCAATAAACCCTTACACTAATACAAGCTAAGATATTATTCCATATAATTCACTCTTTGTTCAAATAAGCCACTAAGGCTCTTAATGCATAAGCACACAAAAAATATTTATAAAGGTATATCTTTCACTGCCACCATATTAATGTTCTTACACATACAGTAACAGTGTACCGACACAATTATTTACTACAGCACCTGTAAACTGAAGACTACGGTATACTACAACGTTACCATTGATAAAAAATCTTACTCATTTTCCCAGCACTAAACAGAATGTATCATCCAGACAACACTAACAATGAAGTTCCCATTAAGGAAACAGTGTCTTAATAAATCACTCCAGTGTCACTAAACACAAGGATGCAGAAGAATGTATCCAGTTTATTTCAGTTACTTTTCTTTCCACTTCCAAAAATTTCTTAAAAATTTCACTTACATTCAATAATTTCTAAAGATAAGCTGGAAGATCAGAAACTACATTATCCAGGAAATCAAACTTCTTGTGGTAAGATGAACAAGTGATGAAACTGCATTACCAGTCAGCAACCTGGATAAAGTCGGAAATCACAATCTAAGTCGCATAAAGGCAGACAGGAGGAAAGACCCTTGGTATCGCACACTTACATTCTTCTATTCTAAATTATCTTGCGTATCTATTCACTTATAATCACATCACTTGGCTTTTTATAACATAGTCTCCTGTTCTTTTCCTTTACTGTTGTTTTTCACTATATGTGAGTCTACTTGCAGAGGAGTTGTTGATTTCAGACTATTTTTATTCACATTAACGCAAATGACTCCTTTGCTTTAATCTTCGCTACTATTTGTCCTTTCAATTAATACAGATCCATTTTCTTTGGATGGGCTTGTTTTGGCACTCAAAAACTGCTCTGTTGATTCTGAAAAGGTTAGATGCTTCTCCTTTGTCTTTCCATTTACTTGGCCATTCTGAGATGACAGGGCCATTACTTCTGGGGTTGGAGTTAATGTTTTTCAGGGTTGTATCTTTCTTGAAATTGTAACTTTCTTCATGAAGGTCAATTAGTATTTCAACGGGTGTGCCTTCACTACTGTTCTTAGTAGATTTTACTTCATCTGAGACAGGTTTACTTGTTGAGAGGTAGGAAGGAAAATATGCCGGGTCTTCACAACTTGATTCTTGGACATTTTTGCTGATATTTAACTCCGTCTGAAGCAGTGCGAGGCTGTAACTCTATTGCTTCTTCACCAGACTCTGATGAGCCTTGCCCCATACTCATATCCTGAAGATCAAGTTTTTAGAATTCATTACATGACAAACTAATTCTGTACACAAGATGATAATTCCACCCTTCAATCTACTTTTCACCTAAATGGGGATAGACTAGGTATATAATTCCCTATAAATACAGTAATACTGTAAAATGATTTATAAAAAATGAAGGATTGAAGTGTGAAATCTCATTTTAAGAATGAGGGGATGAAACAAGTGATCTGTGAGATTCAAATGATTAAAACACACTGTACAATGACCGACAAGATCCATACAGATAAATCACCTCTTAGTAGAGCAACCTTACTGGCCCAGCAATTCACTACAACACTACCTCACACTCACATAAACCCTTTTAACTCTTCTCAACTCAACATAAAATGCTTCCAATACAGTCTGTTCATTTAACTTCCAGTCACCTTTCCTTGATCCATTTTAGCAACATGTCACACACAAGCTATTAAACATGTCAAGGACCTTTGGCAATGGCATACTATGCCAACTGATGATTTACCTGTACTGTATAGATCATGTATAGTATGGCCATGGCAATAACCCATAAGTTGTAAAAAATAAATAATAATAATAAAAAAATAATAACAATTCTTTAAACACCTGTACAGTACATCTAAATAAAATAAATAAAATTGTAATGGAGAATGTGTTCTTTCAACTCAGGTTAATTAAATGTAGCACATGAACTAGGAGTATCTCATTACCAAACTAATACAATACAATACCAGCGATGTCCACTGACCTGGTCCACACTTACCCCAGTGAAAGCAACTACAGGTACTTACTGATGTACCCTACATCCCAATAACTAATTTTCACTGACCATTAATTACCTGCCCACTCCATCACACCTCTGTCATTTTATTATTTTATTATTATTCCCCAGTGTTAATCGGAGTTCTACAGTGACATGCCATCTAACAGACTTTCAGCATTTGATTTAATAACATGTACATCCAAACGTCTTTCTCATATATTCAATCTTTAACCATTGTCTCCTGAGATTTTATAAATTCTTTTACAAATAACACCATTTACTTCAACTTTCCCATTGAAATGTTATCTCTTTATCTGAGACCTAAGCTGAAAGTTAAAGACATGCAGTAGTTCATTATTCTAAACTCTTTGTCAATAATTAGTGTTGTAATTTTTTTTAAATACAAGTACTACTTCTCAAAAACATATCCCATAATTGTGCTAGAAACCAATGATGGCAATCTGTCTGTTTCTAGTGCAAGCAGAGCATCTTTCTATGTTTAAAAGTAAAAGCAGTAGCAGGATGCAGGGAATTAGAGTGAATATATTATGGGGCTGGAGAACTGAAAACTATATACTGTTGTACAGTATAGGAATGAGTGAATTAACAAGAGTCTTTGATACTGTATATTAAAAGTTAATAACTTCACCATTCCCTGCAGTTGGCTTGTCTGGGGCCTTTACAAGAGAATAATAAGCTCTGTGTCCACTAAAGATAATACTGCTCCTCCATTTAGGCAAGTGCAGGATCAAGCTTGTATAAAATGGTTTTGATAGCGAATGACCCATGGCACCGGTTTATAGTTTGTGTAGTTAACATTTTAGCAAGCTAAGGCAATACTAGTGTTTAGAATTAAAGAATGTAAAGAAAGAGTTCAAAGTCATTAGGAGTTGAAAAGGAGTATGTGAAGGAGGACAGCAAAGTGTAATGGAAATACTGTACTGTATTGGTAGGATGATTGTGAGAAATGTGAGGTGACGGAGATATCTAAGAAAAGATTTACATGAGCCATCCTGCTGTTTGGAAGGAAACTGCTTATTCAGTATGATTACTGGATGTAAATTTAAGAGGGGGGATGATCAAGAATTTTTCAACTTCCAGTAATGGCCAAGAGGATTCATCATTTGCTAGATAAAGATATGTACTGTTATTGTTGGTTAATCAGAGCAAGTGAGAGGATGACATGTACAATACAGCATTTGATTATACTGTGGGACTCTCACATAGTATTACCATGTGCAGTAAATGGATTGGGGTCATGACCTAGTGACTAATTTTACTTAATATTAAGAGGTGAAAGTATCACACTCACTGCTACCTATACAATATACAATATGGGTGCAGTTCCCTACCAACCTGCAAGACGATCAGAGGGACATTACACCATGATTATCGATGAGTTCAGCATCAAATAATAGGTTTATGGAGGCTGCCCCAGCAAATCACAAACACATCATCCTCTAATTACCGTATGTTTCTCCGACTCTTATGATACTGAATTTGTAACCTTTAAGAGGACTGTGACTGGATAGAACAGCCTCCTTTTGTCCAAAGAGAACACTCGTGAAATATTGCAAGGATTCTTAGGAAATCACTGAAAGATATATGATCTAATGAAGCAATAAATTTCAACCAAGAGTTTCCAGACACCAATTTTATTGAGAGAACAAGCCTTGTTAGTTTTCAAGTCACTTTGACTTATAAGTAACTCACACGTCATCTTCTGATACCTGGCCTGGTCTGGCCTCTGACATCAGATCTAGGTCCTCCTCACCATCAGTTAATTCCCTATCCGGCATGATGAAGGATCCAGCGATGAACAATGGTTCTGTGGCATCCTGTCCATGTCAAATTGAAAACTTTGATCCTACAATCTATCAAGGTTTCTTTCATGAAAACCAACACTGTTTTAGATTTGACAAGATTTTTGGTTAAGTTAAACCTGATGTTTTAATGATGATGCATAAATAAAAAAAAATATTATTTCAACTTACATAGGGTTTTAGCTAACTTGGGGTTGAGCGTTCTGGTTTCAGTACTGGTTGCCCATACATATTTATATTGGCTTCACAAGAATTGGATTCACATGTACACAATTTACCACCTAAGTTTTCATACAGAGCGAAAGGGAGAATGTATACAGTTTTTATTTATTTATCATATTTTAAATTTTTCCCACATGGGGAATTACTGTATCTCAAAAGGACACAAGCCATTTCTCATGTACCATTCCCATCATACACTACCTGTTCACTGGTGAGCTAATAAAAAAGACTGGGTAACAGCACAACTTTTTGAAGACTGGCTTGTGAACTGTTTTTGAGTGGAGGTGAAATGATACTATTGTAACTCTAACATCAGTTTCAAGACCTTAGTTCTTGATAATAATCTGGGTCACCTTAAGCACCTAAATGACATGACTCTTAATATATGAGTCATGTTTATACAACTCAACACTACTTTCTTAATTCAACCACTGGATTAAGGAGTGATAATATACTGTATAAAACACAGTACAGTACAGTATATCATTTGAGGCACACATTATCTCATAGTTGCCTAATGCCATTCACTCAGCATGTAGAAAACATTATCATTTTACAGCCATTTTCCACACTTGTATGGGTCAGCTGTGTTTACCTGACGACAGCTCTCCAAGCTGCACAATTTATTGCTGCCTCTCTCCCAGGTGCCATCAGGCAAATTTGAAGTGAATTACATTGCTGGATGTCCTTTCTATCACCAACCCACTTGTACAGAGTGAGAACTGGGGGAGTATATAGCAGCATATACTCCATTATAATATTTGTTCAATATTTACAAAATTAATTATGAAATTGCTATTAATATATGAATAAATACTTAATACAGTAGAAAATCATTACAAATGATGGCTGAGAATATTACCTCACTTTACTATGGTAACCTATCTTTACATACAGTCCACTAACCTTTACTTACCCAGTAATCCTTTCTAAGCACACAATCCTAGGAATAAATAAAGGCAAATTGCATCCTATTATGTATTAAAATTTGTCATCCCTGGGCTATGCACAAAATCACAAAAAGACCACTACTGAAGTCTCAACAGTATGTGAATAAAAGACACTGAAAACTAAGCTTTGGTACACATACAGCATGGCCACCACTGTACTCAACTGTCTTCACTTCCCTTACTGTACAATTTGGGACCCATGACATAGGGATTTCAATGCAGTCTTATTTCGCTAAGTCACTAAATAAAAACTCACACAGTACATCGACAATGATCCTACATGGAACACTCTAGAGTAAAATATATGTGGGAGCTCTTTTAAGTACTGTATACAGTATATCAAAATTAAGAATAGGAAAATACTTGGTGCTGTTCTAGTAAATACTGACTAAATAAAATTTCAGCAATGGTGACCATTAATTTCACTAACTTTGAAGAATGAAGCATAAATGTGATCTATCACTTTTAGGGAAGTCTGTAGTATATCATCCTGTGTATGGTGTCAGGAAGTGTACAGATCTTACACAAATTTTTGGATATTAATGAGAAGGTAGTACTGTACTGTACACTTATTCATAGTTATTGGTGATCTGGTAAGAATAAAAACTCAGTGATACTGTAAAAGCAATACCAACCAATTCATTAAATCATCCCATATGGAGAAACTTTTCTAAAGCTTCAGAGTTACCAGTACCAGCTTTGGGCAGTCATTATGGAGAAAGTGAAACAAAATACCCAATACTATACACTCATAACTATATTAAGTGAAAACAGATTGCTCACCTTTGACTGTTGCCTAGACACATACGAAGGGGTGAGAATGGGTGTGGGGGAAGGGGAGGGAGTACGAGGCCGAGAACTCTGTCCATCGCCGCCATTTGACCTAAGCATCTGAGGAGAGGGTGTCTGTCGATCACGCCGCTCAGCTTGGGAGTGAATGGAGTGTAGTGACGTCCTGCCACGGCTAGCCAGCAAACACAGGAAAAGTTAGAGTAGGTTAGATAGGGAAAGAAGCATTTGTCAAATGTTGTCAGTGTTGGTTTGATTTATAGCTAAAAATGCTCTTCTACACTTGCTTAGAAAATTGGCTGACTTGGTTAGTGAGTCAATTGATTGATGATTACAGTACTTAGTGAAAAGAACATCAACTTGGTTACATGTTACTAGCTGGGATTGTCCAATTGGGCGAGGTTTAGTGAATGTCCTTGCAAACTTAATCAGTACAGTACTGGCTTGGTCGGGGATAAGCAAATATTTCCTTGAATCAGTAGTTAGCAACACGTTAAGTTAGATGTTAGTGACAGGTTTGGTAAGCAGTTTAATAATAGGTTGGTTGAAGAAAGGTATATGGCTGTCTGAGGATGAAGGCTGCCTTTGGACAGCTATTAGTGATGCTCTTGGTTAGTGGTTGGTGAAGGTATGGTTGTGGAGGGAAAGAGAGAGAGAAAAAAACTTATTAGCTTTTTATTCATAACTGACCCAAATAGAAATTCTCTTAACTCAAATCTTATTCTTGTGATGAATTAAAATATGTTGACATCAACCTGACTTCTCTCAATTCATACTGGGAGTCAATAGACTATCTTACTGTATTTTATATATATATATATATATATATATATATATATATATATATATATATATATATATATATATATATATATATATATATATATATATATATATATATATATATATATATATATATATATACATAATGTGTGTGTGTGTGTGTATTTTTTTTTACTGCTTTCCAAGATTATATGTTAACATAATTTCTTTTGTGTCTATCGATAAAACTTTTCTTTTGAGGAAATAACAGACAATTATAATCAATACTGCAATACTGCTACTATGGGGGCTGGGGGGGCAGGACAGTCGGGATGGAACCCTGATTATGGTGGTGACAAGTCCAGGGGCAGATCCAGAGGGGTCCGGGAGGTCTGGACCCCCCCCTTTTCATCAGAAAATTTCAATACTTTTTCTTTAATGCAGTATTGTACTGTACTCAGGCATTTTTATACAGTAAAGTAAAAAGTAATTACTATTGACCTCAGAATATCTCCTAATATCAAGTGCACATGGCCTCAAAATGCCCTTGATATTGGTCAGATTTAAAAACTTTGGGGTTACAGAACCCCAAAAAAAATAAATAAAAAAAAAAACAGCCTGGTGGGTTGGCCATGTTCCCCCACCCACAACTTCTTGGACCCCTTACCTCTTGATATTCCTGGATCTGCCCCTGAAGTAATATTGTCTTTGTTAACTATTCAAGGGAAAAACTGTGATGGGATTTTCATTGATTAATTATTAGTGACTAGCTTAGTGATTAGATACTGAATGATTAGTACTGTGGCTATGGATTAGGTATGTGAGTGGAGGTTAGTAACCAACTTGGTAAATAGCCACACACTTTATACATTATTAACTAGTATCCTTCATGTAGCTTATAAGTACATATCTTGGTAAATTAATAAATAAATTAAATATTTATTGTACAGTGTTAAAACAATGACCTTGAAATATTCCAACCAATTCACACACTACAGTAATTTCTCAACTCTTGAAAACTTGATATGTCATATTTTTTAACATTGTAGTTAAACTATTCCACTGATCCTTTGAAATATGTTAATATATGATGACAAAAAATATGCTTGCCTAAAAAACATCCAACTTAATAACTAAATTTTTTGCAAGATATTTAAGAATACAGGTACAGTATTTATTTTGTTCAAAATTTCATTACTGTACAGGTAAAGTACTTCCTATGATGCTTAAGAACAGGTACAGAATTTAAAAATCTGAATACAGTAGACCCTTGCCATTTGCGAGGGATAGGTTTCAAGAAATGGCGTGAATTGGCAAAACCGCAAACAGCAACGTATACGTACTACCTTAGTGCACTACTGTATACCAAACAACTGACCAGCCGCGGCAGCACTCATCCCATCTTTTAACTTATCTAAAAACAAAACTTTCTTTGTCAGAGTCATCACTGACTTCTGCCTTTTACATTTCACTCCATTAGCATCACTATCACTGACACTAAGCAGTCTTTTAGGGGACATTTCACACAGAAACACTAAAGTTTTGAGAGTACAACACAAGATGCTGCATGGGGTGACTCGTTGTGCTGTGGGAAAAGGTTTGCAAGCTAGCCACCATAGTCATCACTTGCTTACAGCGAATCATCAAAATCGCGAATCATAAACTCACGAATGGCAAGGGTCTACTGTAATTAGTGTTAAATAATGACCTTGGAAATAATTACTGTGGATGTCCACCCCACAAGGGGTCACAGCTCAAGCTTGAAGAAGCCACAAGTCCAGAAAATAGTGAGGGCAAACTTTTTTGGATTGAGAATTGTGAACTTTTGGAACAATCTGCCAGCAAGTGTTATGATGGCACCAAGTGTGAGCTCTTTCAAGGCCAGACTTATCCAACACTGGAGCAGGTTCCGATATATTCAGGAGCCAGTTCATGCCCAGAAATTGCTAACAGTGCGTAATAAAGGCTTGACCAACTACCCAAGCAGCTAACGAGCCGATCAGTGGCAAAGAGGGTAAAAGTAAAAGTACACCTCATAATAACAGTACAGTACTTGATTCCTGTAAGCGTTATATGTTATATTTATGCATTTTGTAATTAGAATCAAGTTGTCAAGTCACTTACAAATGTAAATTTCCAGCTTGAAGACAAAAATGTATTTTGAAAAATAAATAAATAAATAAAATTACGGTACCATGGTGCTTTAGCAACACTGTACTTAAATCAATAAATTAGTACAGGCACTATACAACAAGTTGATCAAGGATCTGGGTTAAAAAAAAGAAGTGCTTATGGCCCTTGAAATATCTGTTTCAACTTGATAATTACTCAACTGTTGCTAGTTTTAGATATGCTTTTAAACATTCTGTAGTCAGAATTAAACTCTTGAATCACTGAAATAAGGTAAATTGTTCATGATAATACTGTACTGTACCAGTAATTGGTTCATAAATATATTAGTAATTACAGGAAATCATCCAATAGTTTGGTTAGCATTTAGTAACTATGTTAATAAATACTGTAGATAGAAAACAAGATGTGTCCATAATAAAACAACTCAGACCTCAGAGTCAGAAAAGGAGTCGTCATAGAGACACACCTGAAGGTAACAAGTGGAGTCTGAGTGATTATTGTTCCCTCCGTCTCAAGATGATACAGCATAGTAAATCGTTAGGTTTATCTCACCACTGTTTCTTAATAACTTTTGATGGGATCTTCACTATGTTTGGTCATTTTGGTCATCTTATTCTCTTTAACACAGGTCAGCTTACTCGCCAGTAAGAAGCCAAATTATTCAGAGATATTAAAAAGCATTACTGTATGGGACGATCTCCATTGGCTTCAGATACTGTCAACGGAATGAAAGCCGAGACTCAACATTGCAAGTGCTAGAGGATGCACCTAAAGCTAGGATTCCATATATGCGTTTGCAGTGTGTTTGCGGTATACGTTTGCAGTATGCATCTGCGTTAAATTGCCCTGAAAAACGGACACCACCGTTTCCATATGCATGCAGCTGTTTTTTTAGTGCATTGAAGCTACGACACTATTTATATAAACAGGATGATTAGCTATTAAACATCCTGGGTTAGTATAAGATCATGCGTAAGTCAAAGGAAAAATGGACAAGGAAACATAGATGGTGGGTTCGTAGATTGCTGCTGAATCGGAACAAATATGGAGCCTTCAGTATTCTGGTAAAAGACCTGAGCTTAGATGAAGAAAATTAAAAGAATATTTTCATCTGAGCAGACAACAGTTCGCACATGTTCTTTCCCTGGTTTAGGAGGGTTTGTTGAGACACTGCAGAAACAGAGAAGTCATTTGCTTATAAATAGGAAATAATAAGAACAGCAGATGAATATTAAGTGACACAAAAATTAGTATTCCAGTGAACCTTTTATTGAACCATGAACATTTTAGAACAGTTGTGTCATAAATGTATGGATCTCGTAAAATGATATGCTGTATAAGGATTGATGCTTAATGAGCTAAATTATGAAATAACACTTCCTAGGTTTTTAAATGTATTATATAAATGCATTACAAAAATAGGTTGGGATATATTCTGAAGGAAATTAAGTTCTCAGTCTCCTCGACAGAAAAGTGTTTTCTTCCTCAAGGCATTTTTGCCACGTGAGGAGAGCAAATGCAGGGATAGTGAAGTCACAGTGTGGGATTCCTGCGTCCATTTCCATGCGTTTGCGTTTTCAATCGCTACAGGAAGCGGTTGGCATGTACTGCAAATGCCTAATGCTACAGCTAACACAACCTTGCCAATGGAAACAACAGTGAACATGTACACTTCAATGTGATCTATTTTTGGTGCTAATGCATGAATGGAATCCTAGCTTAAGTCATACCAGTACAGTAGTAAGGAAGAGTATCACAAGTCCCAGGTTGATGAAGACATTTCCCTTATTGAAACCACAGGTAGATGAGAGAAAGATCTGGGTCTTTATGATGACAACAAACTAAAGTTCTCAAATCAATGAGAAGGTAAATCTTGCTAATAAACTTGTAGGACTTGTATGAACATCCTACACTTACACATGATTATCCCAAATAAGGCTTTTGAAATGTGTAGTGGGTGGCCAATCCAATGGAGATCACTGCCTCAAGTTTAAAGAGCTATCAGACTATCAATACAGAAAACTGTCAGATATAACTTTGAAGTAAAAATTGTGAATTCTTGGTATAACCTGGCGAGAGTATGTTGTGACAGCACTCAGTGCAAACTTGGCCAACATTGGACAATGTTCAGGTACATTCAAGGGCCTGTACAAGCCCAGTACAAGTCAACAGTGCATAACAGAGAACAGGTCAATCACCCAACTGGCTAGTAAGCAGACAAGTGGAGGTGAGGATAAGACAAGCAAAGTAATACATACAATGCAAAAACAGAGGCGAAGCACACCACAGAAATTAATCAACTTACAGTAACTTATACCCTAATAATCCTATGTTAACTTTGGTTAAGTCTGGTTAAGACTGGCTTGGTTGGTCTTCTTCATAAATAATGTTCAGGCATTGTTTTTCCTTTCTTCTTCACCAGCTTTGTATTTTATGCGTAAAACAATACTATTGTCAAAGAATATCAAGAAGTAAAATGGCAGCTAAACTTGTCATTTACTTGCAAACCTGCATGCTTTCCTTCCATGTGTCTGAGAGTTATGAACTCAATAACTCAATCAGATAGTAAACAATTTAAATTGAACTTAATACTGTATGTGGGCATATCACAACAGGATCTCAATTTAGCTCAATCATCAGCATTTTCTTATGTCATTATCCATAGTTCTCTAGCCATTTTGACTTTACTATGGCATGACAGGGGACTCACCTATCTTGGGAACTTTATTTGAAATTATCTTTTGGCATTACAACAAATTAGTACTGTTCAAGGAGAGATGAAGATAAGAGTAATACAGCCTTAATTGTTGAAACCCCTTCCAAAATCCAGCAATAATGTCAGAATGACATGGGGGAAAAAAGAAATATTGCTTGGATGAATTACATTATTTAAAAAAGTTAATACTGTACCTTACTGGCACACCATCCAGGAAACTTTTCTCTAGCCCCCTTAAGATTTTCTGGAGTCTGTTATTGACAATTACATGTACTGCACTGTACATTATTCACAATTAATTTTTATTTACCATACGTAAATTTGGCTGGGTACAATATATAATACGTATACACGCGTGATAATTATCTACCAGGTGCTCTCATTTACTGGTATAGTAATAGAAATATACAGCTTTTTGTAAGTAAAATTTTTTTTTATTTCTGAATAACAAGAATTTTCCATCTTTAGAAGTTGTTTACATTCCATTAGATTAATAACCACAACTTTTTTTATGAAGGGAGATCAATATCTAAACTACAATTTTTTTATAAGAAAAAAGAAAAAGAGGCAGAACTCTGGCAATGTAAAGTCATAAACAGACAAAAGTCGATGACTTTAGCACAAAGCACAGATTTTCTAAATTACGTACATAAAATCCTGTCCTAACACTGTAATGACAATGTTCACAAAGAAATTAGTACCTGGCATATGTCTTGGTGTGGGAGACGAGTGTAGAGTGTGAAGTTACCACCAGAGGATCACCTTTGTACCACCTATTGTACAGTTTTCTTAGCTCTTGACGTACTTCTCCATTCATCAAACAGTACAGTACGGCTACAAAGAAACCCTGAAAGAAAAAAAAAACATAGTGGTTTAAGCTGTATTCCACGCATTCATTTGGGTCACATGAGAATTAGACCCTCACCTTATTTCTCCTCAAGATTAGCTACCCAAAAACTAACCTTGCCTACATAGCCCCACAGTACATAACAATTCATGAGTATATTCAATACTGTCCCACACCTATACATACACACAATACTGTGCCACACCTACACACATACAATGCTGTTCCACACAATACAGTACTTGTATTGTGCTACACAAACACAATAGTGTGCCTCACATCCAGAAGGAAAAAAGGCAGAATATTAATTTGCACGTCAAGGATATGACTGCATTCCCTTTGCACATCATTTCCAATTGTGATTGTTAAACACTTTACAACAAGGGTACCACTAAACTAGTAATACTATATTGGGGATTTTATTAGAGTAATATTAAATTGGATATGGTGATGTCAAAGCTAAAGGTCCATAAGAGTCCCGGCCCTGACAAGGTGCATCCTAGAGTGCTAAGAGAGTTGAGCAACAAGCTTGCCGAGCCCCTGAAGATCCTGTTTTGTAAATGCCTGGATGAACAAAAGGTCCCCAGCGAATAGAAAGTGGCTTACCGGTATGTGAGTCCTATTTTCAAGAAGGGCGATCGTCACTGCACAAACAACTATAGACCGGTGAACCTGACCAGCATAATATGTAAAGTACTTGAGAGTATTATCAGAGATGCCGCGATGGAACACCTACTACGAAACAACCTTGTAAAGAATTGCCAACACGGTTTTATGCCGGGGCGCTCCTGCTTAACACAATTGCTCAAGGTATTGGATATTTGGACCCATATTCTGGAACGGGGTGGTAATATCGACAATATTTACCTAGATTTTGCCAAGGCTTTCAACAGTGTACCCATGAAATGCTGAAAATCAAACTGGAAGGGTACGGAATTCGGGGAAATGTCCTAGCGTGGATAGAAGACTTTCTACATGACTGCAAGCAGTGTGTGGTGATTAATGGCACGAAATCATCATCCGTACCTGTCACAAGCGGGGTACCACAGGGCAGTGTATTGGGCCTGCTGTTGTTTGTTTGTTTCATTAATGACATGCCTGACGTTGTACACTCCTCCATACAAATGTTTGCCGATGATGCAAAGTTATTTCGGGAAATCAAGAACCAAGCGGAGAGTGAAGAGCTGCAGAAGGACCTCTGTGGGCTCCAAGAATGGTTGAAGAAATGGCAGCTGAGATTCAATGTCACGAAGTGTAAGAGGATGCACCTGGGGCGTACCAACGGTAAGGAGGCGTATCATATGTCCCAATGGGGTGAAGAAACTGCACTACAGTGGTCCCTCGGTTAACGAGCACAATCCGTTCCAGCAGGTTGCTCGTTAACCGAAACCATTGTTTCAATGGGTTTTTGGGAAATTGGTTCCAGCTCACCGAAAATTGCCTAAATTCAACAAAAAAGGTAGAAAAGTACACTTACTTTGAGGTGTATGTAGAAGGCTCCTGGATGATGATGATGATGGGAATTAGAATGGGGGTGGAGGAGAAGGGAGAAGAGAAGGCTTTGGGGTGGAAGAGAAGTCACCCCATGGCACCATTTCACCCATAAAATTTTAGTTCTCTTGGTGTAATTCAAGATTATTTTCTTTAAATCAACACTGCACTGCATTATATATTGTCAATATGTAAAATAAATTTCAAAATGACCAATAATTTGCTTGGAAACACAGAAAAAAGCATTTAGTTGAAGAGAGTCTCAAGCAAAATGTTACCTCCACTGAAAACAGAGAGAGACTAACGCCTGTCTGGTGTGTTAACAGGCTGGATGGCACGCCAGAAACTAGTTTCTTTACCTTCAATTATGTTCAATAATTGTTAAAATGACTAAAAAAGTTAATATTAAACTTTTAAAATTATTGAATAGTATAAACTTCTTGATATTTACTAAAATAGTAAGGAATTTAAGCCCTAAAACCAATTACTGTATTGGCAGACTAATACTACAGCTGGTGGACCGCCAAATGCAAGCGAAAACATGTTGAAGTCGGCTCGTAAAAAACTCGTTAATCGAGGGATTGCTCGTTAACCGAAGTTAAGAATCTTATGGAAGGTAAATCGTTAACCGAAATCTCGTTAACCGAGGCACTCGTTAACCGAGGGATCACTGTATTTGAGACTGAATGTGAGAAGGACCTAGGTGTGTATGTTGACAATGACCTGAAGTTCTCGGGCCATTGCGAGAAGAAGGTAAATCAGGCAAATAAATTATTGGGTCTTATAAGAAGGTCGTTCAAATATCTAGACGGTCCGTCCCTCGTAACGATCTTCAAGTGTGAAGTGCTTCCCCATCTGGAGTACTGTCACCATGTCTGGTCCCCGAGATATGCTAGGGACTGTCAGTTGGTTGAAAATGTTCAAAGGAGGGCCACCAGACTGGTACCTGCATTTCGGCACCTCAACTACCCTGAGAGACTGGAGAGCCTGAACTTGCCTAGCTTATACTACAGACAGGCAAGGGGCGACCTAATTGAGGTGTATAAGCATCTCAACGGGCACTACTCAGTCGAGAGTCCTTAGTTGGAGCTGGCGGACACTTGCCCCACAAGGGGTCACAGCTCAAGATTTAAGAAGTTGCAGGTCCAGAAAACTGTGAGGGCAAACTTTTTCGGAGTGAGAGCTGTGAACTTTTGGAACAATCTACCAGAAAGTGTTGTGACGGCACTGAGTGTGAGCTCTTTCAAGACCAGACTTGACCAACACTGGAGCAGGTTCATGTACATTCAGGAGCTGGTGCATGCCCAGTACTTGCCAACAGTGAGTAACAGAGACGTGACCGATCGCCCAAGCGGCTAATGAGCCGATCAGTGGTGAAGAGGATAAAAATAAAAGTAATCAGGGGCTCTGCCTCCCTGAATCCCCCGGCATTCATAAGTCATTTGTGAAGGAAATGTCATAGAAGAAAAGTGTCTCTGAATTGTCTGAATAAGTGACTGCAAAGATAAAATTCTCGATATTTGGTGGGTGGCAGCTTATACATTAATATCAATATAAACTATTTTGATTTCAACTCACCTGGAAGGAGGCGAAGACCTGGTCAAGGAAGAGCCAGACGATCTCCACATAAGCATTGGTGGAGGTGGAGAGGCTCCAGAGCACAAAATAGTGCACACCAAACAGTGGCACCAGTACTAGTGTAGACTTACCCAGCTTCCTGCAAGAGTGCTGGAGTTACTGTATAGTTCAGTATCCTAAAATAGGGGTTTCTTTTATTTACTAGAGGTAGCACATCATATTTCCATATACGTATATTCATGAGTACAAAAAATGAAGGTCATATTCTTTGAAATCACCATAAAAAACACAAGGAAAACCTATATTTGCTTGTGATCTCCAATTATGCACCTTATAAATTGTTTACCATCATTCAATTTGTGAATGTCAGTTACATAAGATAAAGGCTATGTGGCCCATTCCAGCTATACCCCAAATTAAATACATTACAAACCTATTTGAATCATGAGCTTCAATTTACAGTATAATCTACTTAGACACAGTGAATAGTTTGTAAAAAGTATGGATCACCTGAAGATTCGCCGCAGCTTATTTCACCCTTAGATTCACTCCCAGTTCATTTTACCTAATCATTAACCATGCTAATGGGATGAGGAATAGGTTAAGCTAGATTAGCATTAGGGTGGTTAATGTTTTGGTGAAATGAGCTGGGGGAGAATTATTGCCCTAAAAAGATTCTATATATAAAAAAAGTTAATGCACTGGTTTCTGGGTAGTGTTAGTGTTTATAAACCAACGCTAAGGATGTTAGCATCCATCCCAAGATGATAACAGTACATCCTTTAACATGAACGTTTATTGTTTGGTCAAGTAGTGTATGCAACAAGGGGCATGATTAAAAGCGCGTTGATAGCTCGATGCTACCTTATATACAACGTAACAGGCATGCAGTAATGACGGCATCTGATTGGCCAATTTGTTAACCAGAGAGATGCGGGGAAACATATTACACATGTGTACATTTTAGTTTAATTTCAGTCAATGCGAAATACTGTTAAGATTATGTTTATTTTTATTTTTGTTATTTATGAGTAAACTGTTACTGCTACTGTTAATAATTATTCATATAATTGTTAGTACTGCAAGACATGCAGCTGATACCATAAATATTTGTCCTTTGTTGTGTAGATATTAGGTGATGATAATGACCTGTACTTCATGGACTCGGCGGATATAGATGATCTGAGCTTGAGAACGAGGACGCGCACCACATTCAGGAAGAAGAAGAAGTTGATGAGATTAGAGATGGCGACAGGGGCCCGGATGCACACCCAGAAGATCCACTGAACGTTGTTGACAGTCCAGCAGTGGGCATCATCCAGGGTGGCTCTCAGCGTGGCCCAGATGCCCACACACCCCAGTGGCAGTCCTGTAATGATAACACAAAGATTGAGTAACATGTATTCATGAGATACCATAAAAAATTGAAATTAAATCATAAAATATACCTCAAACACCTATACAAAGGTGCACAGTACAAATAATGGAATAAACTGCTTTTCTTTAATGGGTAACTAAAAATAAGCAAATTCCTGTCTTCTTTCTATTTTTATGCACAAGTAGGTAGTCATCTCCTTCGAGCATCCAATAGTCTTCAGTCCCTGTATCCCCTCACCAGCTGTAGAATACTGGCAACTTTTACTAAGAAACAGTAAATTAAATGCATGAACTCCTCTGGAATGTTCTTGGTGTGGCAATGCAATCAATGTCAAATCTAAAACTTGCCTTCATTTGGAAGAATATACAGTACGTACTGTATACAGTATCCCAAATTTTGCATGATGATGTCCATGATTAAAAAAATAATAATGTATGCATGTCATGAAAAGGATGACACATGTCACTCACTATTATTATACATCAAACAGGTCTTTACCACTCATGGCAAGGTTGCATATTTAGGTAGCCAGGAACTCAAATATTAATATTGATAATTAAAGCAATGGAAATATCACCAGTAATATATTTTATTCGGATTTTCCTGGAAGTGAAGGTGGAGAAAGTTGAGGTGACATTAATTCCCAATTTACTGACCCCAACCAAGGAGGATGTAGAGGGTGATGGCTGAGGAGTCAGTGAAGAGTGCCATGAAGATGAGGCTGTGGAGGTAAAGACCCTCCATGAGCAGCCAAGAGTAGTTGGCCAGGATGAAGTACTGCCACACACAGATCATCAGCTTACATGCCCACGTCTGCTGGGGAGGGGAGAGGATATGACAGGTTAATCAGTTATTCACTGTGATAGCATTGTGAAACATCTGTCTGTGTTGGTGGAGTGTCGTGGTTGTGGGCCGATATATACCGTAGTCTAGTTTGATCTAACCTAACTGGTGTTTGGTATTAATGATACTTAATGTAGATGGGTTTTGTCTAATGTATTGTCATGGTCACAATTGCACGGCTAGTATGTTCACTTAATTATTCATAATATGCTCCATCATCCCCAAAACATGTGTGAAACTAATGAGTTACCCCTAGAGCAAGACTTGTTTTCCCGAGTGAGAGGTACCATCTGCTTTCTCTCTCTGCCTGAAGCGGCCTTCCGTAATGTAAATTTTAGGTTGTGCTATAACCTTTATGAGTAACCATAAGTCAGATGTACCTACAGTGAGCTGAAGCAGTCAAGGTGTATTGAGTATATGTTGAAAGTGTCATCTATCTTTATGTGTAGAGTAAATAGCATTAAAACGATGTGTTTCGAGTGTCAGACCCAAAGCTGGAATCAATTTATGTTTCGTGTGAAGCCATAAGATGACTGTTCAAAACTAAAGTAGGTTTTCCTTGATTTGCAGACCTCAGAGAATCCGATGAGAGTATTGAAATTATTGTCAGTTTCGTAGTTAAGATTCTCATTAATCTTGTTAGCATAACCTGCTGACTGTAGAAAACTTTGAAGTGTAACTTATACCTGTGGAAAGAACGGATGTTGTGGTCAGGAGTTCCATCCGCAATATATTGCCATTCTCGGCACTTGACATCAATTTAATTCTTGCATTGCAGAGATCGAACACTGATTAGATTGTTATTATCATTTTTTTTTATCCTCTTCACCACTGAGCGGCTCGTTAGCCGCTTGGGCGATCGGTCAGATTAAAGTAAGTTTTCCAATTTTTTGTGACTTTCTGACACCAAATACTAATCGAGAAGTGATTGGCAGTCCGATTTATTCATCTAGGACCATTATTTGACTTCATTCCGGCTATATTTGGGTACATTTGGGTACATTTGGGTAATTAGTCGGACCCCATGCACCGGCTCCTGAATGTACCTGAACCTGCTTCAGTGTTGGTAAAGTCTTGTCTTGAAATAGCTCACACTCGGTGCCGTCACAACACTTTCTGGTAGATTGTTCCAAGAGTTCACAACTCTCACTCCAAAAAAGTTTGCCCTCACAGTTTTCTGGACTTGTGGCTTCTTCAATCTTGAGCTGTGACCCCTTGTGGGGCGAGCGTCCGCCAGCTCCAAGTAAGGACACTCGACTGAGTAGTGCCCCTTGAGATGCTTATACACCTCAAGTAGGTCACCCCTTTGCCTGTATGTAGTATAAGCTAGGCAAGTTCAGGCGCTCCAATCTCTTAGGGTAGCTGAGGTGCCGAAGGGCAGGCACAAGTCTGGTGGCCCTCCTTTGAACATTTTCAACCAACTGACAGTCCCTAGTATATCTCGGGGACCAGACGGGGTGACAGTACTCCAGATGGGGAAGCACTTCACTCTTGAAGATTGTTACGAGGGACGGACCGTCTAGATATCTGAACGACCTTCTTATAAGACCCAATAATTTATTTGCCTGATTTACCTTCTTCTCGCAATGGCCCGAGAACTTCAGCTCATTGTCAACATACACACCTAGGTCCTTCTCACATTCAGTTTCAAATAGTGCAGTTTCTTCATCCCGTTGGGACATATGATACGCCTCCTTACCGTTGGTACGCCCCAAGTGCATCCTCATACACTTCGTGACATTGAATCTCAGCAGCCATTTCTTCGATCATTCTTGGAGCCCACAGAGGTCCTTCTGCAGCTCTTCACAGTCCGCTTGGTTCTTGATTTCCCGAAATACTTGGCGTCATCGGTAAACATTTGTATGGAGAAGTGCACAACGTCAGGCATGTCAATTATGAAACAAAACAAACAACAGTGGGCCCAATACACTGCCCTGTGGTACCCCGCTTGTGACAGGTACGGATGACGATTTCGTGCCATTAATCACCAAACACACTGCTTGCGGTCATGTAGAAAGTCTTCTATCCACGCAAGGACATTTCCCCGAATTCCGTACCCTTCCAGTTTGATTCTCAGCCTTTTATGGGGTACACTGTCGAAAGCCTTGGCAAAATCTAGGTAAACCACCCAGTTCCAGAATATGGGTCCAAATATCATTGAGGACGGATTCAGGAACTTGTTAAGGGTGAAAATACACAAAACTGATCAGGTAAAACAACACTCTGAGAGATAAAAAACGAACGACTTGAGCACATAGAACGACGAACAGACAGGGTGCACAGACGGGGTACACAGACGGGTAACAGATGGAAGGCACACAGGGAGCAAAGACAGGTAACACAGCCGGGTAACACAGAAGGGTAGCACAAACAGGTAGCACAGACGGGTAGCACAGACGGATAACACAGACAGATAGCTGGGTCGGGAAACTCACCATAAGGGAAATAAATAAATATAAAATGAACCAGAGAGAGGCGCAAATAAAAAAGAATAAAAAAATAAAATAAACGGGAGGCGAGAGAGAGGAGTCATGCAGTTACAAGTAAAGCACAGGTAGACAGACAGAGGCAGATAGACAGAGAAACAAGCAGGTAAATAGACAGACAAGCAGGCAAACTGACAAATTGGCAAGCAGGCTGGTGAGGTAGGAAGAAGAATGGGGGATGAGAGTGAAGGAAAATGAGGGAAGGAGGACGGGAGGAAGGACGGGAGGAATAAACACAAGGAAAGATAAAAGAAATGTGTAGGAGTAGAGGGAGACAAATGGAGAGAGGGAGAGACAGAAGATGAGGAAGGGAAAGAAGGAATGGAGAGGAAGGAAAGGCAGAAAGAGGAAAATGAGAGGGTACACAGGAGGAAGGAGGGATGATGAGAGACTTAGAAGGAAGGAAGGGAGGGAGGAGAGAAGAGAGGAGGGGAGGGACCGAAAGAGGAGGGGAAGGAGGGAGGGAAGGGAGGGATGGGGAGATGGACCGCTGAAGGGAGGAAGGGAAGGAGAGAAGAGGGGATGAAACCGATGAAGGGAGGAAGGGAGGGAGGGAGGAAGGGAGGCAGGGAAGGAGTGAGAGAGGAGGGGATGGACCGATGGGGAGGGAGGGAGTAACATAATCAGATATCTTACCTTAAGCAAGAAGAGGTCGTCCCCGGGCTGCGTTATTCAGCATGCAACAGAACCAAACACTGGTGACTATCTCACACACACACACCAGAATCCCACGTAAACACACTAATGCTTATATTCACATACACCATACCCTCACGTACCCAAAGTAAACACACCAACACACCATACGACCGGACAGTAACACACCTCTGTTAATATTCACGTCTACCACCACACACTAGTCCCACAGTAAACACACCTCTGTTAATATTCACGTCTACCACCACACACTAGTCCCACAGTAAACACACCTCTGTTAATATTCACGTCTACCACCACACACTAGTCCCACAGTAAACACACCTCTGTTAATATTCACGTCTACCACCACACACTAGTCCCACAGTAAACACACCTCTGTTAATATTCACGTCTACCACCACACACTAGTCCCACAGTAAACACACCTCTGTTAATATTCACGTCTACCACCACACACTAGTCCCACAGTAAACACACCTCTGTTAATATTCACGTCTACCACCACACACTAGTCCCACAGTAAACACACCTCTGTTAATATTCACGTCTACCACCACACACTAGTCCCACAGTAAACACACCTCTGTTAATATTCACGTCTACCACCACACACTAGTCCCACAGTAAACACACCTCTGTTAATATTCACGTCTACCACCACACACTAGTCCCACAGTAAACACACCTCTGTTAATATTCACGTCTACCACCACACACTAGTCCCACAGTAAACACACCTCTGTTAATATTCACGTCTACCACCACACACTAGTCCCACAGTAAACACACCTCTGTTAATATTCACGTCTACCACCACACACTAGTCCCACAGTAAACACACTAATATGGATTTTCTGTTAGAATGGTCCCAGATAGTTTAATAATGAATGATAGAAAGAGACATGGAAGATTAAATTTTCTGATAAGAATGGCGTTGGATTAGTTGTCATAAATGGGTCTTTTGATTATTTTCGGCATGAGATGCCTCTTAATAATAGACATGTTGACAAAAATTCCTCTAAAATGGATACAATTCCACTAATGGCCATAAACGGCAGATGTTACCCTAACCTAAATGGTTTACTTCGCCAGATATGGACCTAAATGGATAATTTTCCTTCTCTCATCAACGGTTTTCCTTCTACCCTGGAAAAGGCTGTGTTGCCAGATGTCGCCGGCGTTCTTTGTTACAGGTTTAGATAAATCGCAGAAAATAGTTCGAAAACCCTCATTGAAACAGGACAATTCTTCTTCTGAGATACGCTTCAATCATATGAAGGTTCGACACCCCCAGCTTATTTCAGTTTATCTTAGGGATATCCCACTTTATTTTCTTTCCCTTTGTAGTGGATTTCTTCCCTACAAACGCTGTTTGTCGCTGAGTAGCCGACCCCACCAATTCCCCAGTGTATGCCTCGTGGTCTAGGTCAACCAGCGCCGCCATACATCACGGAGCGGGGGTCAACTACTAAGCCACGCCTACCCCCCGCTATTTAAGACCTGACCTCGTGGTGACCTGCCTCTTTCTACCTCCACCAACCAGCCAGCAACACCTCCTCCGCCTGCCTGGCGGTCATCACTCCCGCCGGCGAGCATGGCGACCCACAAGCTGGTCCTCCTCTGAGTATCCTCACTAACCAGCTCTCTCTACATCACGCTTGTAACCATGCTGCCTTCCCAGCACCAAGCTGCATTGTACATCCAATACAACATGTATATAGAGAGCACATTGTGAGTTTCCTTTCTCCCACCCATCCTGAGTGTGATTCCAAACATCTCATACCCCCACACCTTTCCTTTAGTCGCTTCTCTTATATTAAATTTTATTTCTTATCCATTTTCTGATACAATGTATTATCACTATTTACTCTCCGTTTTCTTTAAGATGCTACAATAATACTGTTTTCCCGGTACCGACTTTCAGGTATTTGCTTGCTTGCACACACACACACACACACACACACATACACACATACATACATACACACACATACATACATACATACATACATACATGAGAAATAGCAAAATTTGCCTTCGCGCGCATCAAGAGAAGAGCAGAGTGGTGGTGGTGAACAATTAGCTAAATACCAAATACCCGAGGCACAAGGAACACGCTGGTACACGGTTTCAACACAGCACAACCAGCATTAATGAGCTTTGAATGACACCGCTTTTGACAACGTTCTCTCTCACGCTTTCCAGGATCTCGGTGTATGACGTCGGCTCGAGAAAAGCCTCAAGGCCGAGTGACAACTTTGGCGGCATCATTTTGGCCAGCAGACTGAGCAAAGAGAGCGAGCGAGGCCTTTGTTGACGCCATGTTTGGAACGGATGTGGTATATAAAGTAACATATTTATAGAAACTCCCTGTATGGTAGTACTGTATAGTTCAAGATATATAATACTGAAGTAATTGAAGTTGCCATCACATAATTACTGTTTCAGAGGAGAGTAATATACTTTTATCGTTTCCATTACTTTAAAATAACTATCTAAAAATAACATCTAACAAAAGTAACAAGATAAAGATGTAACAAAATAACTAACCTAACCTAACCTTTCCATAACTGTAAAACCATTATGAAAAGACCCCAAAATAAAATAAATAAATAAAATACACAACTATTTAACTCCCTGCAAGGATACCTTCCATCTCACCTTAAATCTCTATGTAGCTAAATTTGCTGTGTCTCGTGGGTAAGTGCGATCGTGGGTAAGTGTAAGTCGTATGGGTCAGGTGGGTTGTGTGGGTCAGGTGGGCCGTGTGGGTCAGGTGGGTAAGGTGGGTAGTGTGGGTAAGGTGGGTAGTGTGGGTCAGTATGGATCGTGTGGGTCAGTATGTGGTGAGTGTGAGTCAATACGGGTCAGTGTGTGGGTCAGGTGTAGGTCCGTGTGGGTCAGTATGGGTTGGGTGACTATGACATTTTAGCCACCTTGAGTAAATATCTAATCCCTTAAGGCGACTTTAGCAAGGTTCCACGTCTTTTACCTTAACTTAGCACACCAGAGCCACACACCACCTAATGCGGTGTTTAAGAGGCTGATCCTACCAGCTGTGTGTGTACAGTATATTAGTGCTGACACGTACAGGCAGACAAACACACACACACACACTACTACTTTGCTGTCACTCGGATTCGAGTATGGCGATCATCCATCTCTGGTACAATGATGTGAGTTATTAAGGATGTCACCTTCGTTGGTGAGTTTTGAGGTTACTAAAGAGGCCGATACGGGACCGGCAGGGTCGTCCACAGATGTTGCACGTGTGGAGGGCTACATCTAGTGCGGAAGGGGCGGCGGCAGCGTCTTTCCGGCGTCGGCGCTTGTCTGCCTCGGTATGCAGTCGGGCTAACTCGAATGTATTGACACCTCGGTGTGGAGTGATCGTCTCCCAGGTGAGGGGGTCGATTTGGCACTTTTTCAGGTGTGACTGAAGACTATCCTTATACATTTTCTGTTGTCTGCCAGCGTTACGTTTACTATTCGTTAGGTGGCTGTAAATTAGCTGCTTTGGCAGTCTACTGTCGTCCATGCGGGTAACATGGCCAGTCCAACGTAGTTGTTCATGGATAATGGTAGCCTCGATGTTTCTACAGTTGGTGTCAGCAAAAATACTGGCATTTGCTCTCTTGTCTTCCCAGCGAATTCGGAGGATGGAACGTAGACTACGTTGGTGAAAGATTTCAAGTGCCTTGAGATGCCTCCTGTATGTGACACACACACACACACACACACACACACACACACACACACACACACAAATAAATAAATAAAAATAAATATATATGATAGATAGATTGTGAGAATCACCAATTCACCAACCTGATACGGGTCACCAGGTCACTATCAGGTCTATCAGGTCACGGGTCACCAGTTCACCATCAGAACACAGGTGATGAAGGAACCATCTCTAGGGAGGTGTTGTCGACGGAGATTCAGCAGACCAGAGGGAGGAGGAGGAGGAGGAGGAGGAGGAGGAGGAGACAGACAGGCTTAAGACACCCCTATACTTTTCCGGCCATTAGACAGGGTAGTGACACTCTTGATAGCTTCTGTCTGTTTTAGTGTGACTTGTTTTACACCAGTGGAAGCCTCTAGCGTCTGGGAGGTTTACTTTTACCCCAGTATGTCTGTTTTTACGTTGTTGGAAGCTTCCGATTCGTAATATGTCTCTTCATACAGTCGTAGAGGCCTCAATCTTGGGTAAATACAAGGGAAGAAACAGAGAGAAGGGAAGAAAGAATAACTCGTTTAAAGGGGAGGTGGGGGGTGGAGGGGAGGGGGGGTGGGGGGGAGGGGTTGGTGGGGACCAACCAGGCCAATTCAGTTTGTGGATATTAATGAGAACGGCCGCAACAGGTGATGGACGACTGTGAATTGTCAATTTTCTACTGAGGCGATGTTATTTCCTGCCTCAGCAGGGCAAGAAGGAAGGTAGAGGGTAGGGAAGGAATAGGAAGGTAGGAAGGAATAGGAGGGAAGGAAGGAAGGAATAGGAGGTAGGGAAGAAGGAATAGGAGGGTAGGAAGGAATAGGAGGGGGAAGGAAGGAAGGTATAGGGGGGGGTAAGAAGGACATGGGAGATAGGAGAGAGAAGGAAGATGGATTGGGAGATGGGGAGAAGGAAATAGAATGGGAGAGGAAGAGGAAAAGGAGGAAGGTGGACAGGGAGGTATAGGAGATGATAGGAGGACAGGTGGAAGGAGATGGAGGAGAAGGAGGATGGACAATAAGGATGAAGAGGAGAAAAAGGAAGACGAGTGAGAGGGAAGCAAAAATAGATGGAGGGTAGGGGAAGGAAGGGAGAGAAAGGAGAACAGGAGGAGACGGGGGCAGTAAAGACAGGGATTAGAGAGAAAGGCGATTAAAGTGAGGCCGACGGTGTATGGTGAAGGGGTGTGGAAGAGAGAGAGAGAGAGAGAAGGGGATGAAACACTAATGGAATTAACACAGAGGAGAGAGAGAGAGAGAGAGAGAGAGAGAGAGAAAGAGAGAGAGAGAGAACGTGGGTAGAATAGACAGGAGGAGGAGGAAGAAGAAGAAGAAGAAAAAGGAAGAGGAGAAGCGGGAGAGAGAGAAAAAGGAGGGGGAAGAGTGAGTCACAGGTCAGAGTAACAACTATTAAACTTGACTAGAGTTACATAATACATTTTCCAAACCCAATCATACCTGTTGCAGTCTAGGGAGGGCGTCTGACAGCTAGCAACAAGACGGAGAAGGGCAACCAGACACCGGCCATTATACGTATCCATCCCTCCAAAAACAAAATAAATAAATAAATAAATAATAAACTTTCCTATTTGATGTCAGAGAGTATGAATATAATTATAGAGTATGGTTGAATATTATCGAGAAGTTCATTTATACTGTAGTGTGGGTTCAAGGACCAAAATAAATATACTTCCTCCCGATTTAAGCATTACAAGAACGTTATCATACTTAATAAGACGTCATTTCAGGTTATTATACTTTATTTGGAGGAAATAAATATTGTACTTGAGGTTAAATACAACTTATAGGGGAATAATCTTAATGTAGTGGACTTTATCGGCTTGGAAAGATAATGGCGGGAACCGAATGTAAAAATTAAGGGAGAACTAATGCAAAGTTAAGAAAGGAACAAAGAATAGTGTAAATAAGGAAAACAAAAGTAAAGTTAACGTAGGAAAAAAATAGAGTTAATGAAGTATAAAGTCAAGTATTATACATCGTCTGAAGAATTATACCCACGCTCTCTTACGAAAACTAAACTACAGTAAAATATAAACGTCTTTCATTAAGCTTCTGTCGTATTTATTTCATTTTATATTTCCTATTTCCAGAATTAAACATTAATATTATTTTTTTGTGAATTTTTCCGAGTATGTCTAATGTTTTCAGCCTATTATGATTTTAATATAATTGGTGGAAAATTTATGAGTCAAAACAGCTGACGTCAGACCCAGGGCGGATTAAACAAGACATCTAACGTGACGTCCCGATACCCCATTACTGTCCTCTGGTAGGTTATGATAAAAATATGGATTTTATTTTACCAGGATATAAACAATAAAACAAATATATCAAGTAAGAAAATAAGACTTAAATGCAAAATACTTAAAGAATATTTCAGATTTTTTTTTTACCCACGTCTAGGGTGTCTAAAAAAACCCCACACCCTAATATCTAGAATGTGTTACCGAGATGCACTCTGAGAAAGACACACTGAGAAACATTGGGAAAGAAGAGAAAACCAAACTAGTGTGAGTATATGTCTTTCCCAGTGAGTATACATTGTGTTGTTCCTCCTCCCACAGTCCCTCAATATTTACTTGTCTCTCCTGCAGTGCAAGTCTCCCCCACAATGTCTCCCCCACAGTGTATCTCTCCCACAGTGAAGTAAAAACTAAGCCTAGGCGTGTGTCTCACCTGGCTGCCGTCATTGTAGTAAGTCTCGCCGTCCTGAAGGTGGAAGTTGTGAGGGAGGGCGATACCGTCCATCAGGAGTGAGGACTTGAGCAGCACCACCAGCGCCCGGAGCATAAACGACCCGAACAGGTGGAGATGTAACAAGTTCCTGGGACACCTCAGCTTCCTGCAACAACAACAATGATAGAGAGGAATTACTCGTTGACGGCCAGTAAACCAAAAGAGAAGAAGAGAAAGAGAATTACATATCTAAACACACATTAATCGTCTCAGAAACTCTACTAACAAGGACACTAAAAGAAACATTCAAGTATATAATAATCTCCTAAAATAATGACGTACAATTATCGAGTCTCGAGGCACCGTGTAAGAGGGCTTATTATTTTGTTTTTATTTATTCTACGGGGTCACAATACTAGCTAGTGTGCTTATGTTTACGACGAAATGCTATGAATTACTTTATTATTCACTAAAATATTGAAAAAGGGAGGGGGGTAGTGGGGTAGTGCCAGTGTGAGGGGGTAGTGCCAGTGTGGGGGGGAGTTACTGTGAAGGGGGAGGAGTGGGGAAGTTAGTGCCATGGTGAGGAGGAGAGAGGAGGGTTTGTCATTGTGAGGAGAGGTGATAAGAATATTCCTGGAGGTTGTGGGAGGGCGAGAAGGGAAAGGGTGAGGGTGAGGCAGGAGGAGGTGAGGCAGGAGGAGGTGAGGCAGGAGGAGGTGAGGCAGGAGGAGGTGAGGCAGGATGAGGTGAGGCAGGAGGAGGTGAGGCAGGAGAGGTGAGGTAGGAGAGGTGAGGTAGGAGGAGGTGAGGCAGGAGGAGGTGAGGTAGGAGGAGGTGAGGCAGGAGGAGGTGAGGCAGGAGGAGGTGAGGTAGGGAGGAGGTGAGGGTAGGAGGAGGTGAGGTAGGAGGAGGTGAGGCAGGAGGAGGTGAGGTGGGAGGAGGTGAGGTAGGGAGGAGGAAGAGTAAGGAAGGAGGGGAGGAAGAAGAAGGAGGAGGAAAGAGGAGGAGACGAGGGAGGAGGAAAGAGGAGGAGACGAGGGAGGAGGAGGAGGAGGCGAGGGAGGAGGAGGAGGAGGCGAGGGAGGAGGAGGAAAGAAGAGGAGGTAAGGAAGAAGGGAAAGAAGGAGGAGGAGGAAGGAAGGAAGAGGAGGAGGAAGGAAGAGGTGGATGACGTCAGAACCCACCGCCCATAGTCATACTCCAAATAACACGCATGACGTAACATGAGGACATTCTAGAACACATCAGGTCCTTCGAGAACTCATCAAGTCATTTCAGAACACCCGAGTGCAAACTATGTTGTACGATAACTCATTATGATACACGATAACGCCCTTTGATGTGCGATAACTCAGTAGGTGCCCGATAACATGATTTGATGTGATAACAGACTTAAATGTACGAAAAAACATTGAAAAAAAATCCACAACACACTTTCAGGTATAGCGAAACTAACTTTACACATTTATGCCATTCAACAAACAATATAAAACAACTTTACAGTAATTAGAAAAGCTATTTAATAATTGTAAATATGATAAAAGGCGTGAAAAGCTCTTTATAGTAATTAACTATAAAACAATACTCATCTGCACGTCCTGATGTAAACAAACACGAAAAACCCACATTCTAAATCATTATGTATTCACAATCTATTATTCAAATACTAAAATGCAGAAAAATCTAACTTGTTATTATCTGTTTCAACGCGGACCTACTCTGACCATGGGTGATATTTACACATAACCTTCCATTTAGTTTAACAAAGAAAAAGGTTCATGGCAGAGATTCGAAGGGTAGAGAAAAGTAAAAAAAAAAATGAAATATTGATGTAAATGGTCGCAGCCGGTCGGAGTGGTGCCTAATATGTGAGACAATATGTACACAAGTTAGAAACGGTTATATTTATGTAGAGAGGCGACAGGTGTTGTGTGTGTGTGTGTGTGTGTGTGTGTGTTATTGAAACTATACCCAATGCTGAATACATACGAGACATGCATGGTAGGGAATCGTGACTAAATTTAAACTATACGTACAAGTTTGTCCTAAAAAGCCTGAAAAGAAAAAACAAAGAACAATATTTATTACATTTACAAAGAACTGTTTAGAATGGGATTGCTCTTGTATCGATCTGTGCGTAATAGTTTTAGGTTGAAGAAGTTATAGTGTATTCGTGTGAAGATATAATGTTTACATGTGTTTTGTGCGTGTGAGTATTAGTGGGGAAATGAAGATGCATATTCCACACACACAGAGAGAGAGAGAGAGAGAGAGAGAGAGAGAGAGAGAGAGAGAGAGAGAGAGAGAGAGAGAGAGAGAACCCATTTTAGACTCTCATCACCTGTTGATATAGGCCGCCTGGAAGAGACCAAGAGGAGAAATCTTCTGGTGAAATTTATGAGTCTGACTCCACACTATTTCCTTAAGACCTTCGGACACAATTACCCCTCTTTGGTGATAAACTATATTACAAAAACAAAGCTTGAAGTGTATTAATAAGAGAAAAAGAGACACTAATGCTGATCTTTCTGGTAAACACTTTTATTTCATCACCCGAAGGAGTTTTGAATAAAGCAGTCGCAACAGGTACAGGTATTCACAGGGGTCCCCACAGTTCTCTCCTACACGTCGACAGTCAAGCAGATGGAGGAAACTTCTACAAGCCGTCCGTCCTACTGCAAGATTACAAGCAAATAGAGGAAGCAACCATCGTTCCCTCTCCTCTGCCACCCTCCATAACCCTAGCCCTTACACATCCACGCCCTCTCACAAGACGACAAGCAAACTAAAATGAGCCACTTATCTTTAAAGACATGATCCTTCAAGCGTTATTCCTTTTCATACCAAGCAGTCTCCGATAAAACGACAGACAAGCAGAAGAGGACGAGGAAGAGGAGGATGAAGAGGAGGATGAAGAGGAGGATGAAGAGGAGAAACAACCCCTCACATCACCTTCATGTCCTCCTTCAGTAAGGGCTCCTCTCCCCTGCCTTACGCTCGAGGGAATTCAATAATCGAATCTTTTCATCCGAGGATAAGATGTGAGATCACTTCGCTTCCTGGTGGGGGAAGGAGAGGACCGCCTGCCTCTACCAGAAGGTTGGGGTGTAGTGAAGAGTTTACGTGGATACTTTGTGTGGGGGGAGGAGGGAAGTGGTGGTCCTTGTGGTGGTGGTTGGAGGGGGTTGAGGCAGTTGTAATGGTGAATGTTGTGGTAGTGTGTGGTGGTAGGTGAGGTAGTAGTGGGTGATGATGAGTATGGTGGTAGACGTGGTGAGTGTGGTGAGTGTGGTGATTTCAGTAGTGATAAAGGTGACAGTTGTGGTGATGATATTATGTGTAACTTCACGACGTTTTGACACACACACACACACACACACACACACACACACACACACAGGACAATTAAAACACACATCTTAAGGGATTCACTCACCAAACAAAACAAAATTCAATAAACAAACAACCATGAATACAAAAACTAAAGAATGAAAAAAGTTAAATTAAAAGTGAAAAAAAAAAATAAAATCAAGGCAGCTGGGAATTCGTTCACCAACAGAACATTACCCACATGACACCAATCAATTCTCTTTTGTGGTTCCTTCGTGAGCGATGACCGGGAGACGTGTGCCGGCGAGGTTCCCCTACACGCCATCCCTCCATCAGACAGTCACGAGGTCATGCAGTCTAACAGGAGGAGACTGATCTTACCCTCAATAGTTTCGAGGGAACTGTATGACTCATGGAGAGAGAGAGAGAGAGAGAGAGGAGAGAGAGAGAGAGAGAGAGAGAGAGAGAGAGAGAGAGAGAGAGAGAGAGGCAGTTGTTGAGGTGATATAAAAAAATCCTGAATATCTAATCTAACCTAACCTAATCTAAGCTAAGCTAAGCTAAGCTAAGCTAAGCTAAGGTAACCTAACCTAACCTAACTCACCTTTTGTAGGATGTTAGACTTTTGGAAGCTTAACCTGTCGGAATTGTGTCGACTTTCCTTAAATTATATCTGGCGGGATTTTGTTTAAAGTCAGATGGTTTAAAACTTAATGGAATTCTGTCAGCTGCTACCCTCTTTCCTCCCTCACTTTCTTTCCCCTCCACCCCCCTTCTCTCTCCCCACTTCTTCCCCTTCTCCCACCCCTCCCTCCCACTTTCCTTCCTTCCCTTCTACCCCTCCCCACCCTTCCTCTCCTACTTCTTCCCTCTCTCCTCCCCTCCTTCCCCTCCTCTCCTCCTCCCTTCCCCTTCCCTCTCCTCCCTCCTTCCCTTCCCTCTCCTCCCTCCTTCCCTCCCTCTCCTCCCCTCCCTCCCTTTCCCTTCCCTCCCAACATATTCAAAAGTCTGACTAGAATATTAAACAGGGTGATGCTGCATGGGGTGAAGAGGTCTTGAAGGGTCTGGGGTGAAGAGGTCTGGGGTGAGAAGAGGTCTGGGGTGTGAAAGAGGTCTGGGGTGAAGAGGTCTGGGGTGAAAGGGCTGGTGAAGAGGTCTGGGGTGAAAGTCTTGAAGAGGTCTGGGGTGAGGTCTGGGGTAGAAGAGGTCTGGGGTGAAGGTCTGGGGTGAGGGCTGGGGTGAAGAGGTCTGGGGTGAAGAGGTCTGGGGGTGAGAGGGCTGGGTAGAAGAGGTCTGGGTGAAGGGGCTGGGGTGAAGAGGTCTGGGGTGAAGGGGCTGGGGTGAAGAGGTCTGGGGTGAAGAGGTCTGGGGTGAAGGGGCTAGGGTGAAGAGGTCTTGAAGGGCTGGGGTGAAGAGGTCTTGGGGTGAAGAGGTCTGGGGTGAAGAGGTCTGGGGTGAAGGGGCTGGGGTGAAGGGCTGGGGTGTGAAGGGGCTGGGGTGAAGGGGCTGGGGTGAAGAGGTCTGGGGTGAAGGGGCTGGGGTGAAGGTCTGGGGTGAAGGGCTGGGGTGAAAGAGGTCTGGGGTGAGAGGTCTAAGTGAAGAGGTCTGGGGTGAAGAGGTCTGGGGTGAGGTCTGGGGTGAAGAGGTCTGGGGTGAAGAAGGGGCTGGGGTGAAAGAGGTCTGGGGTGAAGAGGTCTGGGGTGAGAAGGGGACTGGGGTGAAGAGGTCTGGGGTGAAGGGGCTGGGGTGAAGAGGTCTGGGGTGAAGGGGAGCAGAGGGTGAAAGAGGTCTGGGGTGAAGAGGTCTGGGGTGAAGAGGTCTGGGGTGAAGAGG